TTTTTATTTTTTTTATTTTTTTTAGGTTTCCTTTATCATCTATGTAACATTATTGTGCCTGCAGGTTGTGTGTGTACCACGTGTCTCAAGCCTGCAGAGGTCAGAAAAGGCCTCAGATCTAGTTTGGATCCCCTGGAACTGGAGTGACAGATAATTGTGGGACACCATGCAGCTACTAAGAACTGAACCAGATCCTCTGCAAGAGCAACAAGGGCTCTTAACCACTGAGCCTTCTCTCCAGTCCTACATACAATGTTTTTTTTAAAGGACACTGAATTAGAAACTGTTTTCCTTACCTGAGAAATCACATTTCAGAAGCCAAAGAAATATAAACAGGCAGAAACAATATTATAGGCGAACTCCCCAGAAGGAGTCTAGTCCAAGCTGGCAGCAGATATCATTATCTTTCATTTGATGTGTCCCTCTGGGGGGTGCAGGGCAGAGGATATGGAGGGTAAAGACAGTAGTTTGCCTCATCCAGTCCATATATCAGAAAAGGGGCAAGATACACTACCAAGGGCCAGCAGCGCCCAAGCCCCTGGAGACAACTTACTGGCTTGCTCTCGATCACCCTTCTCGTTAGCCGCAGCCACCCCGGCCTGGATCTCCTCCTTTTCTAGAAGCCTCACCAGGCCCAGCTCCTGCAAGAGGGCAGAGGTGCAGTGGAAGAGCCGCCAGGCCATGGATGTGCACGAGGGGCTGCCAGGACTCAGTCCTGCCCTCCCTTCAGGTAAAAGGGCCTGGCCTACCCATCTCTAGTACTCTGTCTTACCATTGTTTTCAGCCCAGCATACATCTAACAACAGACTAGGTGAAAGTATAAATAACATCAAACAGAAAGTCAACACATTAAGGGCTGGAGAGATGGCTCCCTGGTTAAAGAGGACTGGAGTTTGGATCTCCAGAACCCATGCAAGTCTTGTCTATAATTCCAGCCTTAGATGCAGAGATGGGCTGGTCAAGTTGGTTAGTGAGACTGGCCATATTGGTGAGCTCTGGGCTCAATTAAGAGAGTCTGCCTCAGTGAATAAGGTGGAGGAGGAGTGGTTTCAGATGATTCTCGGCATCAGCTTTGGGCCTCTTATGCACATCCTCACACACTTCGCAAGCTCACACATTGGCCCTCCCCGACGTGAACACACATACAGACATACACTCATACCAGAGACACATACACATGAAAAATGTGGGAGGGGTCAAAGCATTGCAAAGAAAGTTAATAAGTAAGACCCCAAGTCAGCAACGAGAAGCAGGCCTGGTCCTTCCCTCTCAGTCCGAGGGACTCTAAGCAGACCAGACAGTCTGGTCCACTGTGCTTTGGAGGATGAGTCAACCATTTAAAGAAGGAGTCCGTGATGATATGCACACGAGGCCATTTCCCACCCTATAGGCAGAGCCTGACCTGTGACTTCTGCTCTCTGTCTGAACTCAGCTGTTCCAGGTACCAGTCAGCCAAATCTCTTCTCACCCCTTGCAGGGACAGGACAGGGTCTTGAAGGGCCTCGAGCAAGGCCCCGGGGCTCTGTCTCTCTAGAGCATCGTCAACAACTTCCAGAGCCCCTTGGACTGAAAAACAGCACAGGTCCAGGTATGTGAAGCCCTCTTCTTACCAGCCCAGCCAGACCTGGGAATCTGCCTCCTTTCTGCCTCCCAAAAGTTACCTCTCTCCTTGACCTGACACGGTGAGCTCATGAGGTCCAGCCTACATCTTCCTCTTGGTCATCATAGCTCCCAGCCCCCATCTCACTGTTCCAGACCCCGAGAATACCCTGATCCTAGCAGACAAATGTCCCCTTGTTGTGAGCCTTCAGGTTGCCCCTCTGTCCACCATCTTCCCTATCCCATCAATCCTCACACTGTCTTCTTTTCTTTCTTCCTGTTTCCTTTCCTTTTATTTTATTTTATTTTGAGAAGCCCTTGAGTGTTTCATCTTCCTGCCTGCTGGAATCACAGGTGTGTGGTACTCCCAGCTACACTTCCCTCCTGAAGGACCCTAATCCAAATATCCACCCCCAGCATGGGGAGCTGAAAGACCTGTCCATTTGCCTGTTTTTGTAATTTTCCATTCCCACAGGAGTTCCCTGATATGAACCTCTTTGTTGTGGCCAGAGGAGAGGGTGTATATTCCCTGGCCCGTGATCTTTCCCTAGGGCAGGATGTGGCTCACATAAGGCTATGGAGCTTATTAAATCAGCCATCTCCAAGTGTTTTTGTTTTTGTTTTTTTTTTGAGACAGGGTTTCTCTATAGCTTTTGGAGCCTTTCCTAAACTAGCTCTTGTAGACCAGGCTGGCCTCGAACTCACAGAGATTTGCCTGCCTCTCATCTCAAAGTTTTCCAGGTTCTCCCAGTCATCTCTTACCATTGGCAAGGTTGATGTGGCCCTGGATCTCTGCCTGGGTGAGGCAGGACTCATAGATGTCCTGTTCCTGACCATCATCCTGCAAAAGCAAGATGTAGAAAGAGACGTGGAGACAGTTTGGTCGTCCCCCCACCTGTCACACACACTTCTGTAGTAGACCAATGGCCAGGCCCAAGGACCTTAGGGTTTTGAGGAGCACATGGGTCTCACCCTGGCAATAAGAGCTAAGCCAACCAGCCTGTGGGCTCCCCCGTCTAATCTCAGCTCAGGCTTCATGCCAGAGCCACTTCAGCCATCTAGACTCTTCCCAGGCTTCTTGTTCAATAGACATCACTTCATTTCCTCTTCTACTTCTCTAAACTCACAGGAAGATCTTTGGAACTCAAGACAGGACAGACTGCCGTCCTAGTTCCACTGGAGACTCCCAGGTCTCTCAACTTGGCAGCTCCTATATCCCAAATGTATATCCTTACATGGTTCCTGGCATTGGCAGCCTTCTCCACCTTGGCTAGGGCCAGCAGCTCTTGGTAGACAGCTGCCAAAGGTTCCCGAATATTCTCCAGAAGAGCATTTGGATTCTTCAAGGCAGCCAGAGTGTCCTCCACCATCCCTCGCTCCACTGCGTCATTGATGGCAAGAACAGCTGCATGGACTTGGAGGGAAAGAGAACAAGGTCAAGAAGCCAGAAAGGGCCCAGGGCAGCTAAGGCCCAGCCAGTGCCCAGCCAGAGCATAGCCAGTGCCCAGCCAGAGCATAGCCAGGGCCCAGCCAGGGCCCAGCTAGGGCCCAGCCAGGGCCCAGCCAGGGCACATCCAAGGGCTGTGAGGCTTGTTGTCATCCCATCCCACACCCGTTCCCCACCCTGACCCCGACCCATGACCCCAGGTCCTACTTTAGGGCAAAGCCCTACCTGCAGCCTCATCGGCTGAAAACTCATTAGCTAGGATGCCCCCGATCTTGCTGAAGGCTGGTAACTGGAGGCCATATTTGGCCAGTTCAGAGGCAATGTTGCTGAGTTCCTCGGCTGCAATAGTATCAGAGGTGTTCTTCATTAGGCTCAGAACCCCACGTCCTTGCTTAGTCTATGGCTAAGAGGAAGGAGCTGGCTCACCTGTGAATTCCACTTTCCCATACAGGTCATGGATCTGAGGGGCCAATCCCAGCCGGAAGAGGAAGAGACTGGGAAGAATGGAAGACATTAGATCATGCTGGGATCTACTGATTGTCGCGCCATGTCCACGACAGGTGTGTGAAATTACATGAAGACCAGCGGTGAAGAGAACTTAGCATTTGCCCTCAAGTCACTCAAGCACCCAGGAATGAGCAGCCAAGACAAGAGAAGAAACAAGACGCCATAGGAGTTTGTAACTGTGATGGCTCCACAGAGAACACACTGCATGGGACCCGAGATAGCTGCGGAGGCCAGGAATGGAGGCTTGCACGTGATACTCTTGATGGTCCTGGTTCTGATTCATTCATATCCCAGTCACAAACTAAGGACTTGATCCTGCTGTGCCTTCATTTACAAGGCTCACACACAAACACATGACCGTAAACACCCACGCAGACCTGAAATCTCACCCACCCCACTTGGCTGATTTGGCTGCCCTCCCTTTCTATTCTATTGACTGATTCATCTATTAATTGATCTACCCAGAGCACTGGTTCCCAATCCGTGTGTTGTGACCCCTTTTCACGGGGGTCACCTAAGATGAACAAAAACCACAGATACACAGTAGCAAAATTACAGTTATAAAGTAGCAACAAAATAATTTTATGGTCAGGGGTCACCACGACATGAGGAACTGTATTAAAGGGCCACAGCATCAGGAAGACTGAGAAGCACTGCCCTGGAGGAACCTGGCTGTACAGTCGGGGGCCTCACCTGAGAGCATGAATGCAGTAGATCACCCGAGGCATATTCTTTTTGTCATAGATGTCTGTGGTCTCTGGGAGGAAGATCTAGAGGAGAAACCAGACAGTTGCTGCACATCGGGAAGGACAGCACAGAGGAGGGCAGTGCAGTAAGGCTTCCAAGCTGGCGTGAGAGGGGAGGCTCAGGCTGAGCAACGCATCTCTCTCCAATCAGAGCTGTAAGCACCAACAGCCCTGGCTTCTAAGTCATTTCTATAACCATTCCCATTCAGTCCAATGTAAAAAAGACTTACTAAGCCAAGGCACAGCCAGTCCCACAGTCACAGAGTGTCCAGGGTTAGCTGACCACTAGATGAGCCCTCAGGGGCTACAGGATGCAGGCTGTAGTCTCCAGGAAAAACAGGCCCCGGACACTCAGCCTCCATGAGCCTGGTCCTTGACCCGAGATTTCCAGCACATACATGAAGTGCTGAGGAGTTGACCATGCTCCCAGGGAGGGCCCAATGAGGCATGCATTGCCAAGGCCCATAGAGGCCTTTGAACTGTAGAAGCCCCTTTAAGAACTGAAACCTGAGCTCAGAACACCCTACACCTCATTCAGCTTAACAAGGGCCCAAAGCCAGAGAGGTCCCAGTCACTCCAACACAACATATCCCTCCATTGCTTGTCTCCCACCAAAATGCCTGTCTCTTTTGCTTTTTTTTTAAATTTAGATTTATTTCCTTTATGTGCACAGGTGTTTTGCCCACATGTATTTATGTGCACCGCATGCCTGCCTGGCACCTGCAGAGATCAGGCGGGGAATAGTGGAACTGGGGTGCACATTGAACCTGGATCCTCTGCAAGTACAGTAAGAGCACTTAATCTTTAAGTCACCTCTCTAGTCCTTCTTCTACTCTTTTTGAAATGAGGTCTCACTGTGTAACCCAAGCTACCATCAAATCTGAACAACCCAGGCCCTGCCTGGAAACTCCTCATCCCCCTGCTTTACCCTCCCTATTTTGGAAGATGCACCAGGAAGCTCAGCTTTTCGCCTTTTGTTTTTGTGTGTTTGTTTGAGACAGTGGTTCCCTGTATAACAGCTTTTTTTCTGTAGAACTGAGAGGAGTCCAGGGTGTCACATGCTGACCAAGGCTCTACCACTGAGCTATGTCCCAGTCCTAAACTGTCTTTTTCTTTTCCTATTAAGTTCTTTTTTAATTGTGTGTATGGGTGTTTTGCCTGCATGTATGTTTGTGTATCACATGTGGCCTGGTTCCCACAGAGAGCAGAAGACAGCATGGGATCTCTGACTGGAATTACAGATGGTTGTAAACCACTGTGTGAGGACTGGGAATCAAAGCCGAGTTCTGGAAGAGCATCCAGTGCTCTCAACCATTGAGCTATCTCTTTAGCTCCTTTTTCTTTCTTTTAATTATTTTTTATTTATGTATGTGTGTGTGCTTGCCTGTATGGGCACCATCTGTATGCAGGTGTCCACTGAGACCAAAAGAGGGCAGTAGACACCCTGGAACTGGAGTTACAGTCCACTGTGAGCCTCCTGATGTAGGGGCTGGGAATTCAGTCTGAACCCTCTGCAAGAGCAGTTGTACTCTTAACACTTCTTTCCCCCCTCTTTCTTCCTTCCTTTCTTATCGTTTTTTTGGAGACTTGGTCTCCCTATGTAGCCCTGGCTGGACAGGAGCTCACTAGGTAGACCAGACTGGCTTTGAGTTCACAAAGATCTCCCTGTTTCTGCCTCCCAAGTGCTAGGATTAAAGGCCTGTGCCACTAGGACAAGCCTTTCTCTTTTTGTTGAAAAGGGTTCACTATATAATGCAGGCTGGCCTCAATCTCACCACCTCAGCTTCTTCCTAGGTGCTGGGATTACAGATCTGCACCACCACAAACACCAAAATGTCTTCGCTGCTCTTTCCACCCACATGTGTGCGTGCGTGCGTGTAGGTGGGTGTCAAAACCCATCGTGTGGCACGTGGGGACTGAACTCAGGCTGTTGGGTTTAGCAGCAAGCCTCCTTTACCCGCTGAGTTCTCATCTTTTGTCAGGACAGGGTCTCTCTGTGTAGCCCTGGCTGTCCTGGAACTCACTCTGTGCTGCAGGAGTGCCTTCCGCTCCTTCAGCCAATAGCTGTCGAAATACCAGCCCACTGCGGTGTGGTCTATTTATCTTTAAAAAAGAGCGGTAAGCCTTGGCCTGCTCTCTTGGTTCCGGCGTTGGTCCTGCTCGGGCGACTAGGCTCCTTTCCTGACAGTTGGTGTTTCGTGAGTTTTACCCCCCTAAATAAATATCCCTTTAAATCATAACTGGTGTGGGATTGATTTGCGCATAAACTCTGTAGACCAGGCTGGACTCAAACTCACAGAGATCCGCCTGCCTCTGCTTCCTGAGTGCTGGGATTAAAGGCGTGCGCCATCATTGCCCAGTTCACCTAATTTTTATAGTTACCTTCACCAGGGAAGGAACACAGAGAAGGGCCGATACACTGCAGAATCCTGCCTAGCCTCAATTTGTATGTTTTACAAAGAGAATTTATATAGGCCCTGCAATTCTCTTACCAACATTACAGGTGGGAATTACCACACCTACTTTATAGGTGAGAGACAAATTGGGGTTCACAGCGGGAAAGGACATGGAGCATAAATACCGTAGGGTCTTGGGCCTAAGGCTCTAGATGTGTCAGGTTCTTGCTTCACTCTGAAATTCTGGTGGGAAAATGTCTGGCTCACATGAGCCCATCCACACTACACAGACGTTCACTCCATGACAGAAGTGACACTCCTCAGCCCAGGAGCCACAGGGAGGGAAGGCACAGAGCCCAAGAACTGTTCTCTTAGAGCAGACAGATAGGCATCTTGGCACCCCATTTTACCGAAGGCAGACCGATGTGGGCTACTGCAGAAAGCCAAAAGTTGATGTTGTCTGTGTGGCGGAAATGCAAGCCAGTTGCCTGAAAGGGAGAAAAGAGAGAATGGTTCTACAGTTCTCAGGGTTCCCTATGAGTGGAGCCCAGATGCCATCTTAAAGATTCATGGGTGAAGGGTAGACAGAGCTAAAGGACCCCACCCTGTGTATCCCCTGCCCCATGGAACAGAGAAACAGCTGAAAGCACCAGGACTGGGTGAGCCAGCTGAATAACGGGAAGGCTGGCACAGGGAGGGCAGTGCCGTAAGGCTTCCAAGCTGGCACAGGACACACGCATCTTAAGGCCCATGCAGCAGTACCCTCCCTGTCAGCAGAGCACCCGCCTGGCAGAGACACTAGGGAATTCTACAACTGTACTGCTTTCTAGCCGCGAAAGTGATCACGTATGGAATTTTAAGTTACGTGGTCACCATGCCCTCACGGCTGTGAGAAGGGGCATCTTAGGAGGGAGATGGCAGGGGATTCGTTGCGCTGTGCCCACCTGGTACCGCAGCTGTTCCACGTCATAGATCTTCTTCAGGGGGACCACAGAGGGGGCAAAGCAGTGGCCCAGCTTGGCCAGCAGCACTCCATTGCGGAGGCTTTCCTCCAACTCTACCGGAGAAGGAAGCTCCTCTTTCAAGCACACCTCCATCCAGCTGGGAGCAGAGAGCCTGCTTAGGACCCACCCATCCCTCAAGTGACTCGACACACTATTCCTCCCTACCTAAAATCCCCCTCTCTTCCTATGGCCTCACAGTTCCCAACTTTCCCCAAGCTGCTAGATGCCTAACCAAGTCAACCCTTTCCTATTCACCCTGGAAAGACTCCCCGAGTCTCCATACCTGCCTCCCTTCAGGGAGGTTCAACCAGACTGTAATGTAAGGTAAACCCTCACTCTGTCTGGCTACATACCTGACTCAAACCAAATGGAACCTGCCACTTCTCTCATCTGCATGACTCTGAAAACTTAAACACAGAAAGCTCGTGTCTGATGGAATGCTCTGCACAGTTCACGATTCAGTTCTGATGATAAAAGGGGTATTGGGGGCTCTGTGGGTTGATAGAAGAGGAACAGCGCAAGGGACAGAAAAGCTGTACCTCTTAGGATTGGACGCCACTTTCCAACCCATCTCCCTCACTTCGGCTCTGAAACCCAACCGCATTCTGCAAAACGAGGCCAACTCAGCGGACAGCTGCCAGACTCTCCAGATACTGAGGTCTACAGATATGTTCCCAAAGAGAGTCAAGTATACCTTGCTCCACACTCTCTCCCTGCTGGACACCAGATTTCTTTCTTTCTTTCTTTCTTTCTTTCTTTCTTTCTTTCTTTCTTTCTTTCTTTCTTTCTTTCTTTCTTTCTTTCTTTCTTTCTCAAGATAGCATTTCTCTGTGTAGCCCTAGCTGTCCAGGAACTCCCTCAGTAGACCAGACTGACCTTGAACTCAGAGACCAACCCACCTGCTCCTGTGGCTGGAGTGTTGGGATTAAAGGTGTGACCACCACACCCAGAGGACACCTGCTTTCTCATCTGCTCTACCTCACCTTCTTTTTGGTTTTTTTTGTTTTTTTTTTTTTGTTTTTTTTTTTTTTTTTTTTTTTCGAGACAGGGTTTCTCTGTGGTTTTGGAGCCTGTCCTGGAACTAGCTCTTGTAGACCAGGCTGGTCTCGAACTCACAGAGATCCGCCTGCCTCTGCCTCCCGAGTGCTGGGATTAAAGGCGTGCGCCACCACCGCCCGGCTCTCACCTTCTTTTTGGAAAACAGTAAAATAGACTATTTTAGAAAGAAAAGAATAGGAAGAAAAGAGGGACGGCTCAGTGGGTAAGAGCACTGGCTGCTCTTCCAGAGGACCTGGGTCTGATTCTAGCAACCATATGGTGGCTCACAACCATCTGTAACTCTAGTTCCAAGGGATCTGATACCCTCTTCTGGTCTCCAAGGGCACCAGGCATGCATGTGGTACACAGACCTACATTCAGATAAAACGCCCATACACATTCATTTAAATTAAATTTTTAAAAAAAAAAAATTTAATGGGTGATGGTGGCGCAAGCCTTCAATCCCAGCACTTGGTAGGCAAGGGCGGGAGGATCTCTGTGAATTCAAGGCCAGCCTAATCTACAAAGCAAATTTCAGGACAGCCAGGACTCTTACTCAGAGAAATCTTGTCTCAAAAGAACAAGACAAAATAATAATAATAAATAAAAATAAATTTTAAAAATTTTGAAAGGAAAGAAAAGGGGCCTGGGGAAATGACTCAGCAGAGCTGAGTGTTTGCTGCACAGGCATAGGGGCCTGAGCTCAAATCCCCTGCACCTACATAAAACCCTTGGCATGGATGCCAGCACTTGTAACCCCAATACTATACTATACGGGAAGCAGGAAGATGGCTGGGGTATGCTGGCCACTAGCTCCAGCTTGTCTTAAGGAGTGACACACCAGGACATTTGGCACCCTCTTCTGCAGTCCATACAAACGGAGACAACACCAAACACAGACACACACGCACTATGTATTTGCCAGGCCTCTCTTGGGTAACCGAACAACCCTCTGATGATGAAGGAAGTCCGTTCTGTGCTTTGTGTGGTCTGTAAGTGTCTGCAGGGATGGATAACGCACATCTCACACACAGGCAGAGGCGGCATCCTGCCCTTCCCCACCCTGGAGACAGGGTCTCTCACTGAACCTGGAGCTGACTGTTCTGACTAAGCTGCCAGGCCAGTGAGCTCCTGGGATCCACCCACCTCCAATCCTTCATTTCTGAGACCAAGACATGCATAGCTATGCCTGGTTTTTTACATGAGTGCCGGGTCCTCAAGCTTGCATAGCAAGTACTCTTACCTACTGAGCCGTCTCCCCAGCTTGGGAAATCCTTTAAGAAAGAATTTCAGCAACTAATTAATGAAGAAGACATGATAGCATTGGAAAAAAGTCATTTTTTCCATAAAGTCCTGGGTTCTCTCTAGCACCAGGGGACAAAACAAACAAAGAACCAGCAGTCACCCAGCATACCCAATAGTGGGTTCCAGTGAGGACCAGCAAGTCATACGGTGAAAGCTAATGGGAAATCGTGGGCTCGAGATCAGCATCACGTGGACTCCCACGTCAGACACGGCACTGCTAGAGGCCCTGGTACCGTGTGATGCACATGCCACCACCAAGTCTGCCATCGAACCCAAAACCAGTCAGATCTTTGAGAGCCAACATCCATTTATAGGAAATATGGGCTTTGGAGCTGAACGACGTAAGAAGCAAATGAAGCCAGAAGGTCAGAAAAAGAGATCCAGTTTCTTGAAAAGGTCAGGGACATAAGAAATAAACAAGGAGAAGTGCTCCTGTTGGTGCAGGCCGAAGAGGCAGTGTTGCGTGCAAACATTTTAGAGTCTTCTTTTTGGGTGGGGGTGGTGGTTTTGAGACAGGGTTTCTCTGTGTAGCCCAGGTTATGGTGGAACTCACTCGGCAGACCAGGCTGGCCTCGAACTCAGAGATACACCTGCCTCTGCTTCCCAAGTGCTGAGATTAAAGGCGTGCGCCACCACCGCCCAGTTTAGATTTTTTTAGACAATGCGTAAAACTGGAAAATGGCCTGGTTTCTGATTTCCCAAGGACTCACAGGTAATTTGGTTTGGCATTGACAGCGTGGTAAGCAAAGACTGCAGAGTTATATATTGTTGAAGGATATGGGGGAAGAACGTAATGGCTGGGGTTGGCCTTAAGACAGAAAATGCTATTTTTCATTTCTGTCTTGTATTGAGACAGGGTTTCATGAAGTCCAGACTGGCCTCGGACTTGCTATACAGTAGAGGCTGACTTTGAATTCTGTGTGTGTGAGGGGGTACCTGTTCATATGGGTACACATGTGCAAGTGTGTGCATATGCATACAGAGGCCAGAGGTTGACATAAGGCGCCGTCCTTGATTACTTCCCATCCTGTGTTTTTGAGGCAGGGTCTCTCACTTTCCCTGCGGAACCTAGAGCTCACTAATTGGCGAGGGTGGCCAGTCAGTTAACTGCACGGATCTGCCTGCCTGTGTCTCCCCAGCACTGGTTACAGGCACATGCTGCCACGTATGACTTTTTAACGTGTCTGAATTCAGGTCTTCATGCTCGCACTAAGTGACCTTCTCCCTTATTGCTGGCCTTGAACTTCTTGTTCTCTTCCATCCTAAGCACTGAGATTATAGGTATGCATGCTTGGCATGACAAAACTATTTTAACTTGCCCCTTCCCACACCACAGCCCCTTGTCTGTCTGCATTTGCTCTGGAGATAATGCCTGGATATGAGAGGTAGGAAAGGTGGACCAATAGGAGCCCATCTTCCTGGACCCTGCTTACCGCTTGGCTTCCTCCAGTCGGCACAGGTACTGATAAGCAACATTCTGCCGCCTCTGCTCATCCATCTCCTCAGCTGTGAGGCGTTCATCTGAAGCATGAGGAGACATGGTCAGGGAACACAGCCTTAGAGAAGGATCTCAGCACCCACACCGGGCAGCTCATAAGTACCAACCAGTAACCAGCCAGCTTCAGAGGAACCGATGCCCTTCTCTGCCATCTGTGGACGCCCATATGCACAAGATACACACACACACATACATGCACATAAATGAAAATAAAATAAATCTTAAGAAACAAGAACAAAAAAGACAGGAAGCTCAACTCTGAAGCTGCTTTTGAACATACTCCCTAGGCAGCCCCTTCTGGGCACAGAACACTCTCCATACCCAGTTCTTTTTCCCAGAGCACCCATCAACTGGGAGCATCCTTCTCCACCCAACATTTCCTTCTTTCCTCTGCAATCATCTTCCCGTCTTTCTCTTCTTTCCTGAGTCTGCCTCAAGAAGGCCCTTCAGTGCCACCAGCGGTTATCCAGAGGCTCCCGCATCTGGGAGGTTAGCTTCGTCCTCCCCTTCGTTGTGGGCTGACTTCTCCATTGCTGCCGCAGGTGCACCCTGGATGCCTGGCTGACGCTGACTAAGCAGTCATTCATCCACTCAATACCTTCTGCTGGGCCCTGGGCTAATGAATCCCTAATCTTAAAAAAAATACAAGCCCAGTGTGGTGCATACCTTTAATCCCAGCTCTGGGGAGACAGAAGTAGACGGATCTCTGAGTTCAAGGCCAGCCTAGTCTACAGAGTCAGTTACAGGATGGTTAAGGCTACACAGTGAGACCCTGTCTTAAAAAAGAAAAGAACAGGAATATAAAGATGGGTGCTGGAGAGATACTCTGCAGTGAAGACCACTGACAGCTCTTGCAAAGGATCTGCGCTCAATTCTCAACACCTATGTAGTAGCTCACAACTGTCTGTAACTCCAGTTCCAGGGGTCTGATGCCCTCTTCTGGCCTTCACTGGCCCTAGGCATCCAGCAATGTAAAAGACAGTGAATAAGATCTCAGGTTAGCAGAGGAAGCCAACTATTCTATCTGAGCGTTGTAGAATAAATAGCAAGCAGGTTAAAGCAGGACAGGTGGCCCAACAGAGGGATCCACCCTATATGATTAAGATTAAATAGAAGGACAAAGAGAATTTTAAAAGATCACAAGGTAACATTACTATCTTTTTTTGGGGGTGGGGGACAGGGTTTCTCTGTTTAACAGTCCTAGCTGTCCTGGAACTAGCTCTGTAGACCAGGCTGGCCTCGAACTCACAGAGATCCACCTGCCCCTGCCTCCGGAGTGCTGGGATTAAAGGCGTATGCCGCCACCACCCGGCACTATTCTTTTACCCCCTTTGAGGAGGAAAGTGATCTTCAAGTTAAACAAAATGTAGATAACACTCTGACCTCCAAACTCAAGAACAGGGAATGCCTTAAATGGGATAGCATTCCTATTCTGCCTTAGCCATGGTCTCTATTGCTCTGTTCTTCATGGGGAACATGATACAAAATTACACAGGGTGAGGAAAAGTTGCCTGCACACACAGCAAATGAGCTCAGAGAACATCCCAAGAGACAGCTTGGTCGATTTGTCTTCTACTCTTCACCCGATTGCCTCATCTTGGATATCCTGCTCTATGATTTCAGGAAGGGCTGGGCTTGTTTGAATTGGCAGTTATAAAAATTCAAACCCACAGACACACACTTCCAAATACAGCTTTGAAAGTACTGGCCAACGGCAGAAAACTCATGAGTTCCTCTGAGGGAGTTTACAAGGAACAAGAGTTGGCTGTTCAAGAATGGAAAATAAACCAGTGAGTGACTTCACCTCAGAGCTATGAGTTAGGGTAAGATGGAATGGGCGGGGCCTGGAGCGCACGCGCGCGCGCGCGCGTGTGTGTGTGTGTGTGTGTGTGTGTGTGTACACACACACACACACACACACTGTCTCAAAAAATAAAAAACCGCACAAAAAAACAACCACCACAAAATGGTTTATCTAGAAGCTGCATTCCCTAATGAGATGGGTGGACACCGATTTTGGAGAAGGGGTAAAGAAAGCAGGTTTTGTTTTTCATTCCACTGATCCTTTCAACCCTTCCGAGGAACCAGGGTTTCTCTGAGAAAGCAAGTGTTTCAGGCAGCCCAGGTCAGAATGACCATGAACTCTTGACCTCCTGCCGGAATTCCAACTGCCGGAATTCCAACTGCCGGAATTGCCGGAGTGCGCCACTAAGCCGGCCCTCCAGGTTCTGCATTTTAAAACAAGGGGCCAGGTGATTAGGAACCAAGTAGTTTGAGAGGTATTGTCTCAATGCGGAATCCCAACCTCTGACACCTTTTGACAAAAACGGGAATTGCAGAATGTTAAGGGGCCCCAGAACCTGGGAAAAAGGGAGCGCTCCCTTCGAAGGTTACTCTGCGCACACCAGCCCACTCCCCAGCAGCCCATAGCCCCTCCCGCGAAGGCCAAGCCCCACCAGCAGCACCCCCACTCCACCCTCCTGAGATCCCTGCCGCACTCACAGGCTGTCCGAGCCCGGCCTGCAGCGCACGGTTCCATGTTCCTTCTCCTGCCAGTTTTGAATCTCCCGCCTCTAGGACACCAGCCCTCACCGCGGTCACACCGAGAGAGGACGCTTCCGGTCATACCGCACGGAATCCTGGGTTTCGTAGTTTCTCAGGTGGGACGACTAGGGCTAGCTTTGGGGCAGTTCCTTGATTTGCAATTTCTGCCTGGCTCCTTCTATGCTCAGCTGGCGGCTTTTTCAAATAGTCCCTGCTGCTGCCCTTTCTTTCATTAACGCGTCCCACTTGCTATAGTATTCCTGGGACTCCCTATACGCTATGTGGTGTTATACACAGGAGTATACATGCTCTCTAGAGAGTGCTGTTGTAACAAGTGATAGACACAAAATCAAAAAGCTTGGAGGTGAGTACCGCACCGAGGGAGAGGACCATTGAGTGGAGGGCAGAGAGCCTTCCTAATGAAGGCTTTAGCTGATCTCGAGGCAAGACAGAAAATAGATCTAAATAGAAGGGCATGGGTTGGGAATGGTGTTGTGGAATATTGGTTGAAAATGTGTTACATTTGTTCATGCTAAGGAACATTTGTTTAATGACACAAAGATGTGTTGCATCCTTTTATATTGCATTTGTTTAACTCTGTGAAGCTGTGTTACTTTGCCTAAAACACCTGATTGGTGTAATAAAGAGCTGAAAGGCCAATAGCTAGTCAGGAGAAAGATAGACGGGGCTGGCAGGCAGAGAGAATAAATAGGAGAAATCTAGGAAGAGATCTGGGAGCAAGAGAAGTAAGTAGGAGAGACCACAGCAAATCACAGAGTAAGAAGTAAAGAATGGTATGTAGAAAAGAGAAGGGGGAGCTGGGGAGATGGCTCTTAACCTCTTCCAAAGGTCCAGAGTTCATTCCCAGCAACCACTGTAAATGAGATCTGGTGCCCTCCTCTGGCCTGCAGACATACATGCAGGCAGAACACTGCATAAACAAATAAATAATTCTTTAAAAAAAAAAAAGGAAGAAAAGAAAAGGGGAAAGCCCCACAGGAAAAAGGTAGACAGGATTATTTTTTTAATATTTATTTATTTATTTATTTATTATGTATACAATATTCTGTCTGTGTGTATGTCTGCAGGCCAGAAGAGGACACCAGACCTCATTACAGATGGTTGTGAGCCACCATGTGGTTACTGGGAATTAAACTCAGGACCTTTGGAAGAGCAGGCAGTGCTCTTAACCACTGAGCCATCTCTCCAGCCCAGACAGGATTATTTAAGCTGGCTAAAAACAAGCAAGCCTCCGTGGGAGCCAAAAGAGTAAAGGGCCCTTGGAGTCTGGGTGAGATCTCTCACCAGCCAAGAGTTAAGACGGCGTTAAGACCACTACCTGCTCTTCCGGAGGATCTGGATTCAACCCCAAGCATCCACACGGCAGCTCACAACCATCTCACAGACACACTCTCAGGCAAAACTCCAATGCACATAAAATGAAAATACATAATGCTATGTCCAGATCACAGAGTCCCCCCAAAACCAACCAGAAGGCCGAGTCCTGTATGTAAAAGCTAAGAGCCTATATTCTTACCCAAGTTTGCAAACTTCAGTTAGGGTTGGGCTTTTATAGTAGCAGGTGGGGGTGAGGGATTTCTAAGGTTCAGGACCCCTGATTTGCTGACTTTTGTCTAGGGGTGTCCTGGTGAAAAGCTTTGGGTGTGTGCTGGCAGGTGATCCTATCTACAACAGGTGGACCGTTAGGAATTTCCTTTGGATGATCTGTTCCTGGGTGGTGCCTGGGTGGTCTCCAGGCCTCTATTGAGCCTGTCATGGCTGGGTCCTACACATAACCCGTAAGAAAAGACTGTCCACACTACTTACAAAACTGAGAAGACAACTACCTACAGAGATAATATTATTTTTATACAGAAATATTTCACGTAAGAATGATACAATATGAAGAATGAACACGATGACAACACATTGTATACACATATGAAATTGCCAAAAGGAAAACATATCAAAATCACAGTGAAACACGACTAAGACCTAAGCACATGTACATCTTCCCATGGGCCTTACTCTTCCTTTTCCAGAGATTCCCTGCAGTGTGGAATGAAAGCCCAAGGGTTCCCCAGGTCCCATCCTGTGGCACCTTTGGTAAGTGCTGAATTTTAAGGGGGCATCTAAGTCAGCTACATTGTCTTGACCTAGAGCCCCAGAACCTGGGAATAAGGAGTGTGCCCTTTGAAGGTTCTGCCGCACAAGACAACAGGCATATTTACCTGCTGGCAGGCTTACTTCTGCAGGCTCCCACAGAGCAGTGCTCTGGGCAGCCCCTCCCACAAATGCCAAGCCCCTTTTCTGGGAATCTCGCAAATGAGAATATGATCATTGTTTACAGTAAAAAACATGGTTCAACTGTCTTGTGCAATCGTCTGCCTATACCTTTCCCTTCCCTATGTGACTTTGTCCTGTGCACCTTGACAACCAGCCTATTTAAGCTCCTTGGCAACCTTCTCAGATGTAACTTCAGACGACACCGAAATCTGATCTATGGTTATTACAAAGACACAAAAAGCATGACTCACGCAGAAGCCTACCCCCATGTTTGGGTGGGTGCTCTCTTTTTCCCTATTATCAGATGTGCTTACATCTGTGTTCAGAACTCTTATTAATAAAACTCCAATTCTGTTTCATTCTGACTTGTCCTGCAATTTCCTGGCTTTACCTGTAGTGGACTCTGAAAAGAACTCAGGCAGCTCCAGGAGGCAGCGTGGAGCTGAGCCTCTGGCGCCTGATAATCCAAGTTGAAAATGGAAGACTTTGCAGATTAAAGGAGAGGGGTATTCCACACAGTGGCAGTAGAATGTGCAAGAATATTAGGGACACTGAACTTATCTTAGTGATGGGGAGGAAAGGTCGCAGGGAGAAGGATACGTCCCATACACCTCAGGTACCTTGCCAGGGCACTGAAACCAGGGCTGGTGAGCAACTCCCCGCCCTTCAGATGCAGGTCAGAGCGGTTTTAGGCTTTAGAGAAGATGACAGCCAGGGCTTGGAGACAGTGAGACTGGGTACAGACTAACTGGGAAGCTACTTCAGTGTTGCAGGGGACAGATAAGACAATGATAACATCTATAGTGAGAAAGGGGGTGGGCACGGTGTGTGCTGGCTTCTCTGACCTGCATTTCTCCCTTCTCCCTTCCCCTCAGGCCACACAAGCTGCATGGATAGGCAGGACTCAAGCCTCACAGCAGATATTTGAAAAGGCTTTATGATGGTTGTTACTAATTGTCAACTTGGCAGAATCACCTGGAAGCTAGGCCTCTAGGCACACCTGTGTGTGTGGGGGGGGGTATTTTATTATAGTCATTTACGTGGTAGGACCTTCTTAAATTGTGGGAGGTACCATTCCCTGGACAGGAGATCCCAGACTGTTTAAAGTGAAATTGAGCAGAAAGCATTGCATCTGTCCCTCACTGTTTCCTGACTGGAGATGCAGCTACTTTAAGCTCCTGATGCTCTGGCTTCATACCATGATGAACTATGAGCTAATAATATAAGTCCTTTCTCTCTTCATACCATGATGAACTATGAGCTAATATGTCCTTTCTCTCTTCATACCATGATGAACTATGAGCTAATATAAATCCTTTCTCTCTTCATACCATGATGAACTATGAGCTAATATAAATCCTTTCTCTCTTCAGTTTATATATATAAAAAGAGAGAGAGAGACCGTCTCTTGCTCTCAGCCCTCCTCAGTTGCCTACGGTTCTTTGTACAAGGGCAAGCCCTCAGGGGCTTTCCCCTATTCATTCTGGCATGCCCGTTGGGGTCCTCCTTGTTCAGCTCATGTTTGCTTAGTTATATCGGTGAGCTTTTATGGGTGTAGCTTCTGGCATTCCTAGAAGACACAATCTGCCAGACAACTCTCTGAACTTCTGGTTCTTACAACTTTTCTACCCCTTCTTCCACAGTGTCCCCTGGGCCTCTGTCCCATCCCTAAAGAGCCCCTGGCCGGGTCACTTGTACCCTGCTGTGCCCTCTCTGTTGTTCCTCAACCCCCGTATCCCCACCCCCACCCTGGCAATGGTCGTGTTTCCTTTCCAGGTGTCTGCGGTCATTCCAGGCTGTGTTCTCACATCTGAAGGAACCTCTGGTGTGGAACATGCTGTGTTTGTCCTTCTGGGTCTCAGCTACCTCCCTCAATAAGATCTTTTCTCATTCTATCCATTTATGTGAAAAATTCACGATTTTATGTTTCTTCACTGCTGAGTAGTGATGTGTGTTCCACAGTGTGTGTGTACCACATTGTTATTGTGAGGTTGTTCCATTTCCCAGCTATTGTAAACAGAGCAGTACACATGGCTGTGGAGTGTGATGTCGAGTCGTGTGGGCATATGCCAAGGAGTTGTATGGCCCAGTAATACGATAGACTTAATTTTAGCTTTTTGAGAACTCCCATGCTGATTTCCAGAGTGACCAGTTTCCAATCCCAACAGTGAATGAGGATTCTCTTTTTCCTCATCCTCTCCAGCACTGGTTGTCGGTTGTGTTGTTGATGTTATGCCCAAATCCGTGGGTCCCCACAAAAGCCTACAAGGAAACCGAGTCCCATATGTAAAAGCAAAGAGCCTTTATTTTAATCAAGTTTGCAAACTCTGTCTCTCCGCATGTCCAATGTATTGGAATAACTGGAGAGCCCTGAGCTCAGTTAGAGTTGGGTTTTTATAGTAGTAAAGGTGGGGGTGAGGGGTCTCTGAGGTTCAGGACCTCTGATCGGCTGACATTTGTCTAGGGGTGTCCTGGTGAGGTGTGCTGGCAGGTGATCCTATCTACAGCAGTTGGAATGTCAGGCATTTCCTTTGAAAGGTCTGCTCCTGGGTAGTGGTCTGGTTATCTCAGTTTATGGTTCTTCCTGCAACCCTGCTTCAGGGTAAACTACTGAGACTCTGGCCTCTTATTAAATTTATGAGAGTTGAGTTCTACTCTGGCAGGTGATAATGGTTGGACATAAAGAACTTCCTTTGGCTGACCTGTCAGTACTTAGCTTTTCATGGTTAGCCCCCACAGTTGATATTAGCCATTGTGACTGGGGTAAGATTAAATCTCAAAGTTGATTTGATTTGCATTTCCTTGATTACTAGGGAGAAAGAACAATTTTGGGAATATTTCCTAGCCAATTATTTTTTTTTTCTTTTTAGAACTCTCTATTCAAGTTCCAGGTCCATTTCTTGAATGGGTCATTTTGGTTTTTTGACTCTTGTTTTTTGAGTTCTTTGTATATTATGGATATTAGCCCTATGTCTTAGCTGGAACTTGTAGAAAGATTCTTGCCAATTCTGTGGGCTTCCCAGAGCTGATTGTTTCCTTAGTTGTGAGATGTTTCTTTACTGTAGGGAGTCCCCCTTGTCTACTGTTGACTTTATTTTTTTCATTGTGATACATTTTTTATTATCTTTTTTCCCATGATATTTATTGAGCTCTACATTTTTCTCTGCTCCCCTTCCTGGCTCTCCCCTTCCCCCTTCAACACCCCCTCCCCAAGGTCCCCATGGACCTCCCAGTTTACTCAGGAGGTCTTGTCTTTTTCTACTTTCTACATCCCATGTAGATTAGATCTATGTAAGTCTTTCTTAGTCTCCGCATTGTTGTCTAAATTCTCTGGGATTGTGGCTTGTAGGCTGGCTTTCTTTGCTTTATGTTTAAAAACCACCTAAGAGTGAGTACATGTGATAATTGTCTTTCTGTGTCTGAGTTACCTCACTCAAAATAATGTTTTCTAGCTCCATCCATTTTCCTGCAAAATTCAAGCTGTTATTATTTTTTTCTGCTGTGTAGTACTCCATTGTGTAAATGTACCACATTTTCCTTATCCATTCTTCGGTGGAGGGGCATTTAGGTTGTTTCCAGGTTCTGGCTATGACAAACAAAGCTGCTATGAACATAGTTGAGCACATGTCCTTGTAGCATGATTGAGCATCCTTTGGATATATACCTAAAAGTGGTATTACTGGGTCTTGAGGAAGGTTGGTTTCTAATTTTCTGAGAAATTGCCACACTGACATCCAAAGGGGTTGTACCAGATTGCATTCCCACCAGCAATGCAGAAGTGTTCCCTTTTTCCCACAACCTCTCCAGCATAAGTAGTCATCAGTGTTTTTGATCTTGGCCATTCTTAGAGGTGTAAGATGGAATCTCAGGGTTGTTTTGATTTGCATTTCTCTGATGACTAAGGATGTTGAACATTTCCTTAAGTGTCTTTCAGCCATTTTAGATTCCTCTGTTGAGAGTTCTCTGTTTAGGTCTGTACTCCATTTTTTTTAAATTGGATTACGTGACCTTTTGGTGTCCAATTTCTTGAGTTTTTTGTATATTTTGGAGATAAGACTCTGATGTGGGGTTAGTGAAGATTTTTTTTTCCCATTCTGTGGGCTGTCGTTTTGTCTTGTTGTCTGTGTCCTTTGCTTTACAGAAGCTTTTCAGTTTCAGGAGGTCCCATTTATTAATTGTTTCTCTCAGTGTCTGTGCTGCTGGGGTTCTATTTAGGAAGTGGTCTCCTGTGTCAATGCGTTCAAGTGTACTTCCCACTTTCTCTTCTATAAGGTTCAGTGTGGCTGGCTTTATGTTAGTTCTTTGATCCATTTGGACTTGAGTTTTGTGCATGGTGATAGATATGGGTCTATTTTCATTTTTCTACATGTTGATATCCAGTTATGCCAGCACCATTTGCTAAAAATTTTTTTCCATTTGATTTTTTTTGTCAAAAATCAGGTGTTTAAAGGGGTGTGGATTAATATCCGAGTCTTTTATTCAGTTCCATTGGTCCTCCTGTCTGTTCTTATGCCAATACCAGGCTGTTTGAAGTACTGTAGCTCTGTAGTAGAGTTTGAAGTCAGGGATTGTGATGCCTCCAGAAGTTCTTTTATTGTACAGGATTGTTTTGGCTATCCTGGGTTTTTTGCTTTTCAAAATGAACTTGAGTACCGTTCTTTCAAGGTCTGTGAAAAATTTTGCTGGGATTTTGATGGGCATTGCGTTGAATCTGTAGATTGCTTTCGGTAAGATTGCCATTTTTACTATATTAATTCTGCCTATCCAAGAGCATGGGAGGTCTTTCCACTTTCTGGTGTCTTCTTCAATTTCTTTCTTCAAAGATTTAAAGTTCTTTTCGTACAAGTCTTCCCCTTGTTTGGTTAGAGTTACTCCAAGATATTTTATGCTATTTGTGTCTATTGTGAAGGGTGTTCTTTCTCTAATTTCTTCCTCAGCCCTTTTATCATCTGTGTACAGCAGGGCTACTGATTTTTTTGAGTCAATCTTGTGTCCTGCTACATTGCTGAAAGTGTTTATGAGTTGTAGAAGTTCCTTGGTAGAATTTTTAGGATCACTTATATAAACTATCATACCATCAGCAAACAGTGAGAGTTTGACTTCTTCTTTTCCAATTTGTATCCCTTTGATATCCTTTTGGTGTCTCATTGCTCTAGCTAGGACCTCAAGAACTATATTTAATAGATATGGAGAGAGTGGACAACCATGTCTTGTTCCTGATTTCAGTGGAATTGCTGGGAGTTTCTCTCCATTTAGTTTGATGTTGGCTGTTGGCTTGCTGTATATTGCCTTCATTATGCTTAGGTATGTTCCTTGTATCGCTGCTCTCTTCAAGACGTTTATCATGAAGGGATGTTGTATTTTGTCAAATGCTTTTTCGGAATCTAATGAGATGATCATGTGGTTTTTAATTTTTCAACTTGTTTATATGGTGGATTACATTGACAGATTTTCGTATGTTGAACCATCCCTGCATCTGTGGGATGAAGCCGACTTGATTATGGTGGATGATGGTTCTGATGTGTTTTTGGATTTGATTTGCCAGTATTTTATTGAGTATTTTTGCATCAATTTTTATGAATGATATTGGTCTGTAATTCTCTTTCTTAGTAATGTCTTTCTGTGGTTTGGGTATCAGGATAATTGTAGCCTCATAAAAAGAGTTTGGCAATGTTCCTTCTGTTTTTATTGTATGGAATAATTTGAGGAGTGTTGGTATTAGTTCTTCTTTGAAAGTCTTATAGAATTCTGAGCTGAAACCATCTGGTCCTGGGCTTTTTTTGGTTGGGAGACTTTTGATTTGATTTTGTTTCTATTTCTTTCTCTTTTTTTAAAAAAAGATTTATTTACTATGTATACAACATTCTGCCTCCATGTATGCCCGAACGCCAGTGGAGGGCACCAGATCTCAGTACAGATGGTTGTGAGCCACCATGTGATTGCTGGAAATTGAACTCAGGACCTCTGGAAGAGCAGTCAGTGCTCTTAACCTCTGAGCCATCTCTCTAGCCCCCCTTTTCTATTTCTTCAGCAGTTATAGGTCTGTTTAATTTGCTTATTTGGTCTTGATTTAATTTTGGTAAGTGATATTTATCTAGAAAGTTGTCCATTTCCTTTAAGTTTTCTAATTTTGTGGAGTACAGGTTTTCAAACTATGACCTGGTGATTCTCTGTTTTCCCTCCATGTTTGTGGTTATGTCTCCCTTTTCATTTATGATTTTGTTAATTTGAATATTCTCTCTCTGCCTTTTGGTTAGTTTGGATAAAGGTTTATCTATTTTGTTGATTTTCTCGAAGAACCAACTCTTTGTCTCATTGAGTCTTTGTTTTGTTCCTATAAGCAGTTGTTAGTCATCATGTGGGTGCTGAGAACCAAACTCGAGCCCTCTGCAAGAGCAGCAAGTGCTTTTCACTGCTGGAACATTGCTCCAGCCCCCTTTAGTAAACTTTCATTGAAATCTAGTTGTTCCATGTGTTCCCAGGCTAGAGGAAGACAAGAGAGTCACCCTTGCTAACCCTATGTGATTAATGGGGCCAGTGGCGCAGCTCAGTGGCAGAGTGCTTGTCCTGAATTCTGGGTTCAATCCTCAGTACTTGGGGTCGGGGTTGGGGGAAGACTGGGGAGAAAAGGCCTATGAAATTACAGAAGTTTGCAGGGACCTTTGCTTGTTTGGTATTTGGTTTGTGTAGCAAGGAGGGATTAATTCACAGAAGGGGTCTGAGCACTGAAGCTCTGACAAAGGACAGAGGAAGAGTTCTGTGAAAAATGGGAGACAGAATGCTGCCCAGTGTGACACAGGAGGCAAGGTAAGAGTCAGGGGAACTTCTTAGTCCCCTGAGGTCAGAGGTAGACCCAAATTTCCCTTAAGGGATCCTACTGGAGGGGTAGAGGGGGGATCAGAGGCTGACACACTGACCCCTCTGTTCTCTGGTGTCTACCCTAGGTCTTCCCCTGTCCCCAAGGACAGCCACCCAAAGCTTGAGCCTGTGCCCAAATCGTCAAACTGTGGGAAGAAAAAGGAGAAAAGAAAGTGGCTGCAGCAAGAAACCAATGCCCAGACCCTCACCAGGGCTGGCCTCACGGCTCTGCAGGCTGGTCAGGTTCAGGAGGCCTTGGGCAGCTTCCAAAAGACCTTCCTGCTAGCCTCCAAGGTCCCATCTTCCAGAGACAGCTCTGTTCTTCAAGCCTGTGCCTTCAACCTGGGTGCCGCCTCCAGTCATAGGACTTGAGCTACTTCTGAGAGCCCATCCATCCTGAAGAGAAGTCCAAAGGCTGGTGTCGTGCTGACCAGTGCTTCAGTGTGGCTTTGGCTTATCAGGAGCTTGGTGAACTGACCCAAGCTTTGGACTGGTACCATAGGGCTCTGGGCCATTACCAGACCCAGGGTGACCATGGGGAAACACAGGCAAAAATGGGAACGTGCTATTAGGCCCTGGGATGGCCTAAGCAAGCAGCCTGCAGTTTACAGGAAGCAAGCCGGACCTATGCTCATGCAGGCCAGCACTGGGATGCAGCCCTGGCTCAGGTGGCTGCCGTAAGATGCATGCTGAGCAGTGGGCAACGTGGGCTGAGTGAAGCGCTGCAGGTGCTGCATGCTCTGGAGGAGCACTGTGAGCTGATGCTGACCAGAGCACTGATGGAGGAGCACTCTGAGCTGATGCTGACCAGAGCACTGATGGGGGAGCACTGTGAGCTGATGCTGATGCTGACCAGAGCACTGATGGGGGAGCACTGTGAGCTGATGCTGACCAGAACACTGCTCGGGGCCTGCTAGGTGAGCCTTAGTAAGGAAGGTGTGGGGTCTGAGGAGGTGCCCTGAGTGCTGGGAGGGGACCGGAGGCTGGAGGAGCAGGTCAGGAGCTGAACCTGTGCAGCCTTCGTCATGGCTCATTTGACTGTCAGTGACTGTGCTCTCCAGGGCCGCTCTACAATGACCTAGGCATGGCTCACTTCCAACTTCAACTGTTTCCTCTGGCAGTAGAGGCCTTCCTGCAGGCCCTACCCTGGTGTCAACAGCCAGCAGACCAGGCAACAGTGTTTCAGAACCTTGGAGTGACCTGCAATGTCCTTGGCCACAATCAAGAAGCCAAGGAGTTTCACCAGAAGGCGGCCAAGCTGTATGTTGGGTGTCTAGAACCGGAGAGTGGGGCCAAGACTAAAGGGTTAAGAAGAGGGTTCAGGACTGGGAATACGTACAGCCGGAGCGCTTGCCTGGCATGCACAAAGCCCTGAACTGATTCCCAGAACTCCATACACCAAGTGTGGTGGTGTCTGTCTGTAATTTTGGCACTCAGTAGGTGGAGGCAAGAGAGGCAGAAGCCTAAAATTGTCCTTGGCTACACATCAGACCCAAGCCCAGCTTGGGGTACATGGTATCTGTTGACAAAGAAAATGAGTAAGTTTCCAATGGGCCTGGTGGTGCCCTAGGGTTTGGAGGGGACTGGGAACCTGGAGGAGTGGATTGGGTGCCATATCTGTACAGCTGCACACCCAGTAGCCTTGGGTGGATGGATCTTTGGGACCTTCTGGAATTACCTGAGATGGGAGAAAGGACAGAGCAGAAGGTTGTAGGCTCAGAGGCCTGGAGGTTAAGAGACCAGAAATGCCGCTCTGAATCTCCTCCACTGAGTGTGACTTCCTATCTCTGAGTTTCAGATTCCACACATAAACATGGAACTATGAGGGCTGGAGAGATGGCTCAGAGGTTGAGAGCACTGGCTGCTCTTCCAGAGGTCCCGGGTTCAATTCCCAGCACCCACACGGTGGGAACCGATGCCCTCTTCTGCCCTGCAGGCACACATGAAGACAGAACATTGTATGCATAATAAATAAGTAAATCTTAAAAAAAAAACCAAAAAAACATGGGACTATGAGGGGCTGGTGAGGTGGCTCAGCAGGGAAGCAGCCAGCCAGAGTGCACTCCCCAGGGCCCATGCTGAGGAAGGGGAGCAGCCAGCCTGTGTATAGGGGAGCACCTATTCCCAGAAGTTGTCCTCAGACTTCCACCCGTGCATACACACCTACAAAATAAATGTGGAGAAGTTAAAACAATAGATAGCTGGGGTGTAGCTCGGTGGTAATGTGCTTGCCTGGCATACACAGGGCCCTGGATTCCATTCTAGGCACTACAAAAGCTAACAAATAAAAAATTAAACCCAGCCTCCACACCACGTAAGTGGCACTGTAAGTATGACCTGGGTGCCTCCCTAAATAGATTTTTTTTTCCTGCAGGATATGGTGGAAAATCGCTGCTTCAATCCTAACACTCTAGAAGTAGAGACAGATTTCTGTGAATTATACCAGTCAGGTCCTACATAGTAAGAAGTGGTTTTATGTTTTTTTTTTTTTTTATTGTTGTTGTTTGGTTTGTTTCAAATATCACTCTAACCTTGACTGACTCACTGGCTCCCACTGGCCAGGGAGGCATTTGGGGTAAATGCTTGAGGTGAGAGAGGCTAAACCCGGACAGCCTAGGCCTTTGTGGATCACCTAGGGGTACTGAGCGAGGGTCACCTAGCGGTACTGAGGCTGGGCTCTAGGAACCTGGGACCCTCCCTTGTGGGAGGGTATCGATGCCCCAGCAGCCAAGCCCCTATACAAATGGATCCGTTCTGGTTTCAGGCTCGTTGGAGCTTGGGCGGCCTGGCATTCTCACTGAGCCAACTGGAAGACCACAGGACTGCTTGGGACAGCTATTTCCATACCCTGCGGCTGCCCAAGAGACTGGTAAGAATGAGGGGGTTAGTTTGGAACTGGAGTGGGGGGCGGCAAAGACAGGGTGCACATGCTGGCCCAGTGTCAGGTGAGACCCTCCTTGATGGCCCGACTCTTCCTGCCCTCCCACCTCCAGAAACTGTCTCTGGCTGCCCCTGCGGCCTTTGTTCCTTGCCCCACCTCACTAGAAACACCATCCATTCCAGGTCCTGGGCTGTTACTTGGAGGAAGAGGCAGTCTGTCCACAGTTCAGGGCTCGGGACTCAAGGGCATGAGGTCAGGGCACAAAAAAAAAAAAAGGCAACCGGAGTCCCAGCTCAGCCCATTCTCACTCCCCCACTTTCCTCTTTCCCCAGCATGAACCAGGTTCTGTGCGGGAGCGGCTTGTGGCCAGGCTGGTGGGTGCCAGGAGGGCCTTCTTGGCTCAGGAGAGGCTAGCCCAGGCTCATATCCTGGTAATATGACACCTGAGACCAGGAAGTGGGAGCAAGTTGCCCAGAAAGAATGCTGGGATGCTACATTTAACTGCTCCTGTGTTCATCTGCCTCTGGGTTTGCAGGAAGGATGTATGTATATCAGGTTGTGGGGGTGGGGCAGGGAGGTGGGAGGAGATTGTGTCTGCACAAGGGCTGTACCACAACAGCTTACACTGACTGAGTGATAAAGCTATTGGGTGCAAAGACTTGGGAATCGGTCATTGGGTGCAGTTCCCGAAATGGCCACAGGAGGGGGTGGTGCTCCAAGAAAGCCCCAGGAGCTGAATTGATGGATGCTCCAGGTTCTGCCTCCAATTGCCTTTCTCCTTAGGAAACTTACCCCCACCCCAAGAACTGAAATATATGCTTTATTATAAGGTTGAATGGGTTGAATGACCTCTTTTGTTGTTGTTTTTGTTTTGTTTGTTTTTTGAGACAGGGTTTCTCTGTGTACCCTTGACTATCCTGGAACTCACTCTGTAGACCTTGAACTCACAGAGATCCATCTGCCTCTGCCTCCCAAGGGCTGGGAATTAAAAGTGAGTATCACCACTGCCTGGTGTCCTCTCGTTTTAAAGACCCGGACACTGTATAATCTCTGGACACAATTAAATTCACCTGAAGCAGGGAGTGTAGTTCAACTGTAGAATGCTTGCCCAACATATGTGAGACCTGTTGTTTTTCCATCAGCACGGGGCTGAGCTTTAATCTGTTGCTGTTTTAGCCAACAAATGCAGCGCCACAGTTACTGGCTTGTCTCTCTGGCAGTGGCCCCGGCTGGTGAGAATTCTGTTCCAGCAGGCACTGGCTATGTCACTGTTGCCAAATATAGCTTTTAGTTAAATCTCTATTGTTCTGTTTTTCAATAAGATTCGGGGGTCAAAGGCTGCCGTGAAGACCTGCTAACTCAGAGAGGTTGAGGAGCGACTAACTGACCTCTCTGCCTGGAGCATCCTTCTGCTCACCAAAGCAGAAGTCCCTCCCTACTACTTCCTGTGTACTTCTCTATTGTCTCACAGACACCCTATGACTCTCTGATTGATTTCTGTCAACTAGTTGATAACTCAGCCTCCTGACCCAAGGTTGATTTTATTTAATTAATGCAAATGCAAGCTTGGAGTTTACAGTGTGATCAGATTTCCCACAACAGAGACCCTAAATTCAGTTAACCACACTGGGGGGCATAGGTAGTCATCCTGGAACAGGCAGGGGCTTTGATTAAAAGTCAAAAGACTTGGGTGTTGTAATAAGAGCGGCGGGCTACGTTCCTCCACCAGGCTGCTTTACCCCGAAATAATTACACGGAAACTGTATTCTTTTAAACACTGCTTGGCCCATTAGTTCCAGCCTCTTATTGGCTAGCTCTTACATATTGACCTAACCCATTTCTAATATTCTGTGTAGCCCACGAGGTGGCTTACCAGGAAAGATCTTAACCTGCGGCTGTGTCGGGAGTGAGAATCATGGCAACTCCCTGACTCAGCTTCTTTCTCCCAGCATTCTGTTCTGTTTACTTCGCCTACCTAATTTTATGTCCTATTAAAGGGCTGAGGCAGTCTCTTTATTTAACCAATGAAATTAACACAAAACAGAAGACTTTTCCCCATCACTTGGGCTCCAGTTAAGGTCCTTCACCAACTCTGACATTACCAGAGGTCTTTAGGCATGACGGGGTAGTGGTCATGTTATGGTTCAGTCAGCAAGCCTGGTTTGTCTCATAAGATTTAGTAGGTGGGCCTTTATAGATCAAAGGACTCATGTCAGAATTTGATCTTGGAACCCCCCTGGGCTGTCTCCAGCAAGTAGGTCTGTGGCCGGGATGTTGTGGCTCCCTGAAGGCAGCTGGAAGGTCAGTGTGACAGCCACATAGTGATTTTTTTTCCGTGCCAGAGTCTGTGCTTCCCCTAGCCCTCAGCTCTGGGAAGGCTCAGGCCAAGTGCAAGGGTTTGCTGGCCAGAGGTGGAGAGCTGACCACTGGGCTGTCCCACAGCCGGGCCACATTTAGTTCCCTGTCCCTGAAAACCTTTTGGTAGGTAGGAAGACGAAGAGCCGGAAGAGAGCCATAAGGAGAAAGAGGCGGAGGGGCTGGTGAACATGACCCTTTGGTAGAACCTCATAGACAGGACCGTGAGTGGAGGGAGTGGGAAAAACACGGCCCACTCCAGCAGTCAGAACTCTCTCTCTCCTGGTGCCCCCACCCAGGCCTGCCACCCATCCCCTGGCTCCCCAGGTTGCTGACCCCTGCAGTAGCCTTTCTGCATCTCTGCTTGTCTCCCCAGGGCCTGGTCCATCTCCCCCAAGCCCTGCCCAGATGTGTGTTCCCTCCTGCCCTCTGGCTTTCATTTCCTAACACTTTAGGATGGAGAGCCCACTCTGCTGGGGGACAATGGCTTTACCCTGTAAACATTGGTTTCTTGCACTTGTTTAATAAAATGCTGATTGGCCAGTTGCCAGGCAGGAAGTATAGGCGGGCGACCAGGCAGGAAGTAGAGGCAGGGCAATGAGAACAGAGTATTCTGGGAAGAGAAAGAGTCAGTCTGTAGTCATCATCCAGACAGATGCAGAGGACACAAGATGTGACTGCCTCACTGAAAAAGATACCAAGCCACTTGGCTAACACAGACAAGAATTATGGGCTAATATAAGTTATAAGAGTTAATAAGAAGCCTGAGCTAATGGGCCAACCAGTTTATGATTAATGTAGACCTCTGTGTGTTTCTTTGGGCCTGAATCACTGCAGGACAGCGTGGGACAGAAACCTCAGTCAATACCGTTCCATGTCAGGTACCATGCTGGGCCTTGCTTCTTATTAGACTGTCCCAAAGGCCTTACTACTTGGTGAGCTGGCTTGAACAACTGATAGGTTCTTTTCAGTGTGTTCCCTTCTGACACAGGAGCCTATACCACTGTCAGTAGACGGCCCGTGTGTATCAAGCGTCTGGTCCGTACAAGGCATCCTTCATGAAGTGACCAATTCACCCCGCTTGACCCCAGCCTGCCTCCTCTCTCCCACTGTGCTGTCCTGGTCATGATGAGGCTGTAATAAATGTATCTGACCCCCTCCATCCAGGCTTAGGGGCCACAGTTCATCTTCCATCTGGAGGCCTCAGTCCCAGTGGAGTGGAGCACCCCATCATCACAGCACCCCACAAGCTCCAAGTCGATAGGTAGGTTCCTAGGGGAAGGGTGGAGGCTGGGGGATGGACATCACAAGAAAAGAAAGAACTCATGGGTGGTTGTAAGGTTGAGAGGAGAAAGGCTCCCGTGTTTGGCGGTATCCCTGGCTCCTGCACGGCCTGCAGGCCTGGGAAAAGCAGAGTCCTGATGCTGCAAACAGGGAGCCTGCCTCCTATGCTTCCCCATTGCCCCATGGCAGGCCTCTCTGCCTCTGTTAGGGCATCCATGTGGACCAAGGAAGCCCTCAGAAGGAACCCTCAGAGGACATGCAGCCATTCTGGCTTCTGCATGACCATGTGACCTGTGCCTGCTGACCACAGCTCTTACCCCAGCAGGAACTTCTCAATATATGCATTTAGGGGCTTTGGGGAAGGAGCATTCCTGAGCAGGCAGACCGAGGTCTGTGCTGGCTCAGCATTGGGATTCTCTTTGCTCCTCCTGGGGAGTCTATAACTATAAATGGTTGGTGGACACTGACCCTTGCTTTTCTGGATTAGGATGTCATAACTGCTAAGGCCTTTGTCAGTTCTAAAAGTGACTCCCTAGCTCAGCTGACTTTGGGACCACTGACCTCCGAGTCCCCTTTTCTGTGTGGGAGATAGGAATGCCATAGAACAGAAGCTGAAAGAACAGACACCCCACTACTGCCCCTGCAGGACACCCCAGGTCACAGCGGCAATAATGATGTGACATTTATCAGGCCTACACCACAGCCTAAGCACTTACAGGTATCTCCTCCCAGGAGCGTGTGAGGGAAAAAGAGTTGGCATGATCCCAACACTCAGAAGGAGGCAGGACGATCACCCCTTGAAGACCAGGTTGGACTACATAGTGAGATTTATCTTAAAAAATAACAGAACAACTAACGTGTAGCAGCTAAGAAAGGACCACCAGCCCCCAAATCATGACACGGAGACTTATTAGTTATGAACGTTTGGTCATAGCTTAGGCTTGTTTCTAGCTAGCTTTTTTTTTTTTTTTAGCTTAAACTAAGCCACTTCTGTTGATCTATGTGCTGCCTGAGGCTCATTTACCTCATCTGCATATTATCTGTCCTGCTTTCTACTCCCACCATGTCTGTCTGTCTGCCCACCAGCCCCGCCTATCCCTCTACTTGCTAGCTATGACAATTCAGCTTTTTATTAGACCAATCAGGTGCCTTAGGCAGACAAGGTAAAACAGCAACACAACTTTACGTAGTTAAACAAATGTTTTATTCCACAACACTAGGGAGGCTGAGACCAGCAGATGTCTGCGAGTTTGAGGCTAGCCTGGTTTACATAGCAAGTTCCAGGCCAGCCAGGGCTATATAGTGAGATTTTGTCTCAAAAAAACAAAATGCAGAACAAAACAAAAATCCAACAACAAAACAAAGATGAGGGAGAGGAGGCTCAAAGGCCAAGGGTTAAACTTCCAGTCACAGGAGCAGTCCCTGAGACAGACTCAGTGGTGCAACCAGCCATGCCCCACCCCCACCGGAGCTGACCCGCAGGCTGCTAGGAGTTAGTGTAGTGTGAATCCAGGACCTACGTGAGGAAGGAATCTGTGTCCTACAAAGACGCATTCAAACTTTTCTTATTGTAGTCAGGGACTGAGGGCCTAACAGGGCATATGCTGCAGGCCAATGTTAGACACTTCAAAACAGCTGCCGCTGAATCACATGCAAAGTGATTCAGACCCTAAGCACCTAGAGTAATCTGACTCTCCACTTGCAAACTGGGGTACTGGGGTGCGGAGGGGTGGGGGGATGGTTAAGAGCATTCATTGTTCTTCTAGAGGACCCACATGGTGGATCACAACCATCCAGAACT